CTTCAATGCGCAGAAAATTAATGAGATTAAAAAATTCATATAAAACCATTTTTCTAAGCAAATATTTAATGAACAACAACCGAAATTTTCGTAAAGGTGCGCAGCAAAGAGTAGAAGAAGTGTTTGAAAAATCTCGAGAGAAATTATGAGAATGAAAAAATCACTGTACCTTTTTGTGATTTAGGTATCCGGCGAGACCTACGGGAGGTCTCAGGTTTCCTATTAGCAAACACTTTTTTGTTTCTCATAATTTTACTTTCCGTATCAACTTTTTGTTCATCCCTTGACCCAATCTATAGCGCAATAATCAGATCGAAGCGCTTCCTCTCTTCCTTCTTAGGGCCCTAAATCGTTTTACCGTGTTGAAGAAAACGCTAAGCAAACAACGCTGTAGTGTCTGTCCTGTTTGCACCCATTTGTAAAGGATACAAAGTAATTTCTTTCGTAATTTCGTAATTTTCTTCGTAATTTCTTTGATTTTCAAGCGGGTGTTCGTTCTCGTGGGGTTCAGTCGGAAACCTCGTACCGTTGCCTGTTCACATTCCTCCTTACGGTTCACTTTTGAGTTCTTGTCTCTTATCCAAAACGCTTCCCAACTCTTGCGCACTGTGACCTCGAACTCAAAAAACAGGATCGTGGCCCCGATTTGCATCGTTGCGTTTCTATGGCGTACAAGCTATACTGAGATACAAATCGGAGCAATCCTGCTAGACCTTGCTTATGCAGTCTGTCCATTCAGCAAAGAAGGTAATTATGTGTTCATGAGTAATTTATCTAATCACATGTTTATCACGAGGAAATAGATCAGAGAAGCAGGACATCATCTTTGCTGTTGGGCTAGCTAAACGCAGAGCTTCTCACCCTTGTAGCCGTAACATACTGCGTCATGAAAAAGCTGTGCAAATCTCAGCCACGATCTTGTCCTGAGATCCCGAGATTGCAGTGCGCAAAACTTTGGAAGCGTTTTGGATAATAAATCCAAAGTGGACCGAAAGGAAGAGTGTGTTGCAATTCTAACCAACTCGCGCCATATCAGTTCCTCCCTGGAGTTGAGTATAAGTAAATTACCTATGCTCTGTAAAAAGCGAGAGGTATAGCTTTGCATAATGAGTATCTTTGGTATCCCGAATACGTGTTTTGCCTAAGATGAATGTAGCTATCGTGATTCCGATTCTCTCTTTTCGTACTTTCCAATCAAATGTCACCTTGGATCATAATGTTGGCGTCTGAATGAATGGTTCACTGGCTTGACTTACCAGGCTCTGACGGAATGCCAAAACATTGGCCGCTAGTAAAGAAAAGATAACATGTTTACGCTTAGCAAGCAAGAAAACGATCGTCTTTTACCTTTTTTGCAGCGCTTTCCAGAATATTCAGACGTTCCTCCTGTTTCATAGCAGATATCTATCTATCTGCGATGAACATTAGAACGTTTTTTAAAGAATTTATCTTTGATAATGCAGAACATTGTCAAGAAAATCCTGTAGATTTGAAAAAGCTATACGAATTTGTGCTACACGTTTGCAGCCAACGATAGTAGTACAGAAAGTGTTAACTTCCTTGATACTTGCCCTCTATCAAATTCCAAAATTTTCCATTCTTTTTGCAGTGAACATCGGTAATGCTAGGTAACAAAACAGTAGAGGTGCATATGCCAAGGTTGGTAGAGTAAACCTTTAATCGTC